GGTAGGGAACACATTAAAAATGTCAGCAGTAAAATATTTATGGTAGGTGGAGCCACCATTTCCTCCCAGAGTGGGTAACACCTGTGAGCACATAAAACATTGTTGACATGTTGATTTTACATTTTTATAAATGTTGGTAAAACACGTATTCAAAGAAACTGAACTTCTGTTTCTTGTTTTGTTATAATGTATGAAATTATCACTATGCCACACTGCATAAGAAGACATTTTAGGTTCTCTCTACTTGTAGTCATGGTTGGGCTTTTTCAGCAGAGGTACATGACTTTACATTGCAGTGAAAAATAAGTGAACAACAGGAAAAAATGTGACAGGAGCCAAAATGACTCAGAAAACACCCAGAAAGTGGAGTTCAGAGGGTTGATAGGCAGCCTGATGTCTACTTTATTACTGTAAAGGTTTTAAAAAAAACAACCAAGCAAAACTAAAAAAAACACAAGTATATATACTACATGGCACACATTTTGTATTATTGAATCAATTTTAGGGTTTAACTACTTCTAATCCTCTCTGCTCAGATCAGAGTTATCTAAGTATCTGGATCAGAGGTATCCCAAACCTACTAAAAACTTTCAAACAACCAGTTTTTAAGATTTGATCCAATCCAGTTGCTGAAATCCAATTAGATTATTTTGGATTAATATGGAATAAAGAACATCTTCCCATAAAAACCTGAACGATAACGGCAGAGTTTGGAGCCAACTATCGCAGCTACAGACTGACATTACCTTTCCTCAGCTCTGCGAAAAACAAGACCGTTGCATATTGACTGCCCTACTTTTTGAACCATGTGGTACCTTTTTCCTCCCACATGCCTCTCCGTTCCGTCGTACTTTAAAACAATTAGACGATCAGATCATTGCGGTGTTGTAATCTTTTGGCAGTCTCCCAGAAAGAAGTACGTTTTTCTTTGTTTGTCTGGCAGTTGTTTGTTATTCTCGGCGCGTGAGGGAGGGGGAAAAAGTGAGCCGGAGTGCCCTCGGACGTGTTTTGTGGGAGTGAGGCGTGATGACATGGTGAGGGAGGGAATAGGCTTCGGTCCTCTGGGAGGAAAAGGGAGGGGGGTTGAAATGCTGATGCACCACAGGTTTTTGCCATTAGGCCCCGTGTTTTTTATCACCATGGCGAGACCTTGCCACGTTTTAATATATGTACGCTCCCAATAAGAGACAAAGATAATCTCTCTGGGTTTGGTTTTACTAGAAACAAGAGAGTCCAGGTTGAGAAAGTCTGTCAAGGCCTTGGGATTGGACTCATGAGAGAAGTATGAGTAACAATAAAGCCTTTGTGTTTTTCTCACAACAAGGAGAGGGGGAGATATGCCATACATGATCTCCGGCTTTATGCTGATCTAACATAGGCTTATTAGACTGCACGGAAAGAGAAAACAATAGCTTTGTGTTCTGAGTAAAAACCTAAACGTTTCCCCCTCGCTGTACCCCACTGCTGAGTTTTTAGAGACAGTTGGAGAGAATTTAACATTGCTATCTAACTGTCTTTCACTTAGACTTTAATTATTTCCAAATGTTCCATCTGATTGCTATTGGCAGCCCTCGCGTGTTTAGTGCGATGCGTTTGAAACGTGAGCGGGTCTCGGCTGGCAGAAGGCTGTGGGGTGAAATGCGAGGGCTGACCCCGAAAAAAAAAAAAAAAGAAGCCTGACCACATACTTTCTCATAGTATACATGGCTTTGTAATGGAAAAGAGCTGTTTGGTACCTCGCTCAAACCCCAGCAGCTTGTTTTGTGCAACCCTGGGTCCGTATGGTATGGGCGTATTTTCCTGTTCCACCCCGCTGCCCTGTCTCCCAGGAATTACGTTCCCATACAACCCAACTGCATTGTCATTTAAAGAAACAGATTTTGTCGGTGAAAGTTAATACTGCGAGGTGGTAGTAAAGGCTTCCAGTTTGAAAGAGTTTCAAAGTCCGCGTAAGGAGGAAGGAGGGGAGGATGGAGGCAGCAACAGGGGATTCCTGGTCCACATGGGAGCAATATTCTTTGGCTTAAGTTTTGTTTTCATTTACTGTTTACTAGAGCTGCTGTGATTAGTGACGTAATTGATGCATTTTTAGCAACGACGTCCATTTTTTGTAACTAGTGCATGTTTTTTTTCTACTTTAGTTCATTTTAATAAAGTTTTTTCTTCAGTATCACTGCATAGTTGATGCAGCAGCCGCTCTTGGCTTCGGTCAACTGCAGTTTTAGATGATTGCAGCAGATTCCAGCTCAGTTCAGTGTAAAAGTGTACAAAGACACAGTTCCTCCAAAGCGTGGGAGCACTTCAGATGATCACAGAGCACAAAGGTAGTGGTTCTGTGCAGAGTTTAGATGCTGTACGAACACCTGAAGAGAAAACAAAGCAGACACTCTACATCTGTTTGCTTCTCTCCTGCTCTCTGTGCTCACCGTAATTTCTGATAAAGCCGTCCTCATCTGCATGTTTTTCTGTTTCTGTCGTCAGACAACAAAACGAGAGTGAAATAGTGACATCCTACTGGGACCACATGTTCACTATTAGTCACTTCTGTGCTGCTGCTCTGCACAAGTGAAATCCTCATTTTACAACGGTGACGTCATCTTACAAACTCACCAAGAACATGCTTTAGAGATGACTGCTGTGCTGAGAATTCTGCTGTGTTTTCCTGGAATTTGAAGCTATCACCAAAGTCAGGAAGCACGTACACCTTTGCAACAACAAGCTTGGTCGAGTTTTCTGGGTTACCAGAATAACGAGTCCCGCCTTTTTGAGTACGTGATTGTTGGGCTGATAAGGAGCGACAGTCAGTCAGTATAATAAATGGCAAAGCTACAATGATTTGAAATGTGCATGTGATACGACACAAACAAATGTAATCAGGTATAAAATATGTTTGCCAAAGCGTAAATGAATGTAGTTCAGCTGTACAGCAACTTAATTTTTGGGGGGCAGATCTGCGCCCTGATTGTTTAAGTGGGTCATATAGATGAAAAACGTAAAGGAAGTTTACAAAGCTGTTAGGTTGTGGTGACAGTTGTTAACCACTTGAAAACTTGTGGCTGATCAGAAGGAAGTTGTATATCATGCAACAACTAATACACATGCCAAGTGTAATCCTGTAAAGCATGAGCTTGAGTCAAGCACACCAGGCACTCACAGGTGACCGAACTGTTCATGACAGCTGACTGTACAGGAGACAGAACACAGGTAGAGACACAAGAAGCCTGACTTCAGTGTCCTCACACCCTGCTGAGTGTCGCTCTGCTTCACTGACCGAACCCTGTAGTCGTAGCTTCTGTGATGCAATGAGAGCATCAGCCCGAGAGCAAAAGAGAGATTCATCCGGATCCCTTCTTGCTCAAAGGGTTCAACTATGAATCATTTCAAAATCGCAATTTGAAACAATGCAATCAGAATTGGTTGCAATTTAGGGGTTGTTTATGTTGCCCTTTGATTATTATATACCACACGGTTCATGCATGCTCACTGTGGTTCTGCTGAGGCACACCCAATCCTGTCACACCTTATACATTTCACACATTTTAGTTAGTTTCCATCTCCTATCTGCTCTGGGTAAACACAGTCCAGCTGAAAACAATCTGAAATTTTTGTGACAGTCGTGTTGGGGAGCGTTGGGAGAGTCTGATTGCTGCAAATGGTATATATTAAGGCTGCAGTGATTAGTCGACAATAAAAATTAGTCGATGCGAAGTTCATTGTCGACGTGTTGTATTCTAAATGTCTTGTAAGGGCTTTGATAATAAAACACTGCGCCAGGCATCTTAACACCATCCTTACCAACCGTAGCTTTCCAGACAATATGAGAAGTCCCAACACTACGTAAATGACTGCAACGCACCACAACAAATGCTGGGGGCAGTACTGTCACTATTTGCAGCGTCTGTGTTCTCAACCAACGAAGAACAACTCAAGACCGGTGGCAGCGCCAGCTGAGAAGGGTCAGAGTGAAAGTAAAGTTTGGCAATTAATATGCATGTGCTGTGGTGTGGTAGTCTACACTTTGTGACAACTAATTTAGCCTCATTTTCTGTTTTGATTTTGCCATTTTTGAAATTCAAAGCAAAGACAGGCTCTTGCACTTTATTTTGTACAATGAAATTATTATATTTATTTATTTTGTTTTCTTTTTGAGCCAAATTCTGTGTTGTTCGGATATGACAATACAGCAGAGTTTGAATGTGTTAACATAAAAAAGAGTAAGCTCTTCAGCTTAAATTTCATACTCAACTGGTTCAGGAGTCATTCTTTTAATTTACTTAAGGACATGATGCTGTATTGTGACTGACTGGAAATCAGGGTGACATTCATGGGATGCAAATTTAGAGAGTGGGGTAAAGCTTCCACTGGAGCCTGTAAAAAGAGCTGCGTCACCAGCGTGACAGAAATAATCGTGACTAATCGAAAAAATAATGGAGAGATTATTCAACTATTAAAGTAACCGTTAGTTGCAGCCCTGGTATATATTTTGGCAAATTTTTAAATGAGACATAAAGAATGATTGAATTAATTTTGATGAAATGTCAAGATTGTAAGATTTGGTCAAGTTTCCTGAAAGAATCACATTTCACTAATGAGTAGTGCATAGACTGTCAGGAAGCTGAAAATCAGACGATTCATTTTGTCTGTACAGTTTTGACTATGATAAATGCTGCAGTTTTGGCCTTTTTTTTTTTTCTTTTTCTTTTATTTTTTGTAAATACAACGCTTTCCAAACCAAACCGGTTGTTTCAGAGTTTAAAGGGTTTAAAAAGCTGGGTCTAGGGGCTCATTGAGCTCAGAGAATACAGAAAGACCAGAATACTCTTCACGTGCACCAGTAAGGATGATACAATAAATGGTCAGTTTCTCAAAATGTTTTCTGTTGTAACGCTGACCTGTTTTCTGGGGAAATCACTCTGCACACTCAGAGAAAGTGCTCATGCATGAGGTACATAACATTATGTGTGAGGTGATGGTTTCATTTTTTTTAATCTCCTCTGCAGGACCTTTGTTTCGGAGCCCCTGTGAGCTGCTGCCGGTGGGGACGGGACACCCGGTGCAAGCCATCCTGAAGAGCTTCACCGCCCTGTCAGGGTGCGCGAGCAGAGGCACCACCAGCCTGCCCCAGGAGGTCCACATCATCAACCTGAGAGGACACGCTCCGGAGGGTCCAGACAACACTCCAGCAAAGGTGAGTCAGCTGCAGACGGTGGAGCAAAATAGCACACGGATAAATATTACAAAGACAAAAAGCTGAGAGAATAAGGACGGTGGTCAAGCGGGTTGTTCACCAATCACGAGGCTGGTGGTTCAGTACTGGCCCCTTAGCGTGCTGAAACTTCCCTCAAGTTGCTCCCAATGGCAGGTTAACACCCTGCATGGTGTGAATAAGAAACATTTTTCAGTGCTTTGAAGGCATTAAGAGGCACTATGTAGGTGTGGCCCTTTTTCAACTTCCTCACCGTCCTCAGTCTAATCATTTGTGGTGTGATGTTCAGTCAGGAAGCCAAACCTTTTAAATTCCATTGTGTATGATGACAGTAAAAGCATCTCTACATCGCTACAGATCTCTACATCTCATTGTTATGCTGCACTAGTTATATAAACTTGTTCCAAACCTGGTGCTCAGATGGACCTACCTCACCGTAACATGCAACAGTTTAGACGGTAAAAAAACAAAAGTGGTAAGTCATTTAAAGTCTGATATTTTCCAGCCACTGACTTGTTTTGCACAGATCTCTTTAGTGCCTTCATTCAAAGTGTCAGCTCATCAACTGATAGAGTTCCCAAAGTTCACATGGGGTGTTAAACCGCTCCCTATCCTCAGGTGTTGAACAGCTCATCTCGTGGTTGAGACTTCTCACCATCAGCCATAGTTTGAAGATGAATCATGGACCCTGAAAAATTCTGCGTCTGGGTTTAAAACCGTCATCGACCTCAGTCACAGCAGTGGGAAAAGCAGCATGTAGGGACTTGCCATTGTACTTTTACTGCTGATGTAGGTTGAAATCTTACCAAAGCCAAGTACAGTGCTGGGTGTGCTGAATCAGCAGGTAGAGCCTAAAGACATTATTCTCTGGTTTTAGTGGCTGCACTTGTTGTGAAGCTTTGCGACATGAACGTAGATCATAGATAGGGATTCGCCTCATGTTGTAATTTGTTATATATTGTAGAGGTCCATGGCTGCAGGGCTTCTCACATCTTCCTAAACATTTGTCAGATTTTACATTTTTTTCAAGTTGAAAAAGTTCCAAGTCTGCGCCTATAAAAAGCAGAAACCTGTAGCGTTTAATTGGTCTCAAAACCTGTGCACGTAAAAATATTTCAAACCTCCCCACGCGCTCGCAATTGCTCAACATTCGCTCGCTCATCAGGTTGACTTTGGAGTCTTTGGCAGCTACAATGCCATCAATCATAAAAAAAAATTAGTTATTTTACAAAGATTTAACAAAACTGAAAAGAACATTACAGCACTTTTCCAAGTGTCCACAGCTGTTACCGATACTGCTTAGATTCGGTTAATTTTCCAGACAAAACAACACATCACACACGATATGTTTATTTTTACAGTTTCTCGCTTTGGTAAATGGTGTAAATTTGTGGATTTTGTAAAGACAGCTTGCTTTTCAAACTCACCAGCAGGTTTTGTGGTTCAGAGGATTAACATAAGGCCTGTAATCACTACATACTATAATTTAAAACATGCTGTATGCATCCCTGAGTGCGCCACACTTCTTCCACACTTATCCGTGTCCCGCCAGGTGTCAAGGTTTTGCTGTGTTTCACGTAGCAACAGATTTACTCGTGTCAAGATGGATTGTGATTAGACGCTGTCAGATATTCACACATAACAAACTGAACTGGGTTTTTGTCTGAGATTGTCAGGTGAGATTGTTGCATTTCACACCTTCGGGTGTTTCTCAGAACAACGGAGTGGCTTTTTAATAGATCAGTTTTTCCTGTTTTTAAACGCTTACTGTCCTCCGTATATTTAAAGTGCACCAAATGTGCTGTCAGGAGATCTTTCTGCTGCTAGTGATGGACCAAATAATGATAATAAACACAGTCAGCTAACAAGGTCTGGTAAATTGATTTTTGTAAGCTTTTGCTTGTTATTTTGACCAAAGTTTATATTTTTCATTCTTCTGTCAGTTTATTTTTGGGGAGTTAAAGCAGAGCGATGAGTTCAACAATGAGGAAAAATGCTGAGACGAAGCGCTTTTGTGCATTTGCCACCTGAGTTTTCTGTTTCTGCAGCTTCTCCTTGAGGCTTTTTCAGCGTACAGGTAGAAAGATGTTTTTCTTTACTATGAGTGGAGCCTGAATTTCTTTGTTAAATGATGTACTGAATGATTTCCTCTGTAAATGACCGTTGCTTTACATTTATGAAAAGCACCAGTAAAATATCTAGTTTGAGAGTCTGTGAAATTAATCTAATTACATCAGTTTGTCCAGCTCTTGGTAACTGATCGCTGTGAGGATTAATGCAGAGGAGGCAGAAATCCAGCCGTCTGTCCTCCCTCCTACAGCCTTGGCTGCAGAAGGTTGGCTGAGATTAGGTGGCCCTGCAGAAGCTCGGTCTCTTACTTGAGGTTTCTGCTTATGATAAGATAAGATCCCCTGAAGGACACTCACCCTTCTACCCACTCCAATCCTTGATTGCATTTCCACCTGAGACGTGGGCACAGATTGGCCTGTTTGGACACGAACCGCTCCGTCCTTCACCTTCAGCAGGACTGAGTCAGACTGTGGACTCGTTATCTGCCCCTGATCTTTGGTGACAGATGGATGTGATAGACCGGTGGAGTTATAGCTTGAAATAAAGGATCTTTAACATCCTTTGTTTGTGAAAGGATGTGCTCACTTAACCCTCTGAACTAAGAAGAAGGCCGGTGGATTTAAAAGGCATCTTATCTTTAGAAAACAATCAAGGTTTGGATTTTAAACTTTCAAACAGTTCATGAGCTAACCATGTGTGACATGTGGTTCCATCTGGAAAACTGACCAAATCTAAGCTTAAAATATATGATATTCACTAAAAAATTTGCCAAAAATAAATCTGCATCTAAGTCAACTTCACATGCAACATGTAAGTTGAGCAGTTTCAATCTAGACATCAGTAAAATGGACATAAAGATGATAAATGTTGTGTTGGAAACTTGAAATGTGACACTTAATTCCTCCAAACAACACGTTACATTGTGGAGGGAGACAGTTTACCATAGAAGCACTGGAAACATAAGATTAAACCCCTCTTTACAAATGATGATGTGAATTGTGGATTTTACTGCACTAATTGTTCATTTCCTTGTGAGAACTATTGACATGAACCAGGCAGCTAAACACTGTACTTGAACACAGTTGTTAGGAAGCTGTGCTTAATTTTAATCTTTTGATTTCTTTCAGGAAACACTTGAGGCCGAACCACTTTCCACATGAATTCTTTTATGTTGAGACAACATCCGAGCAGATGTTGGTACTTGTTAATTTAAATCAGCAGTCCCTGTTTTAAACACCAGCGAGTTCTTTTGATGCATCGATAACAATAAGCAGGAAATTTGACTTTTAAATAAGCTGCACACTTTGATCTAAACACAAGGCATCTCTAGAATACTATCCAAAATGTTTATGTTGGTATTTCACGCTACCTGAATGAATGATTAGCATGTTTTGCCTGTTATTGTACGGTCACTGCCGGCTCTGTAAATGTCAGCTTATCCCACACGAAGCACTATGCACAGTCACTACTGAGGTGTTCTGTTGCACTTAATAACTCAGCTTTGGTGTGGAGATTGGCCCCGAGCCAAAGTGTGTATTCTGAGTCAGGTCCAGCTGTGCATTTCTGTCTGTGGATAACAGTTCATACCCGCTGGTTAATACCCATACAGAATGGGTTCACCGGTGCAGGCAGGAAACAATTCATTGCTCTCACGTCCTTACTGAAAATATAGACAAACTGCAAGCCATGACTTTCACACATGGGTGTGAAAGAGATGTGAAGCAGGCCTCACACATTGCAGCTGCAGGATGTGTGCGCGCCTGCTCATGTGTGCGAAGAAACAGCGTCTGAAATTGACCATGTGATCTCCCTTGTCCATATTAGCCCATGCACACCGAGAGCAACTGCAGATTTATTCCCCCCTTCCTGGTCAAGGCCCAGCTTTGCAGACACTTAGCGAGAGTCGGCGGGGCACATCGTGTTCTCCGGCAGCCCCTGAACGCAGACAGCCAAAGCTCAGCCACAGGCACCTCTTGTGCTGCAGGCGATCGGTGAAAACATCCAAATACAGTCTGTTCTGCGGCCCAGACGCCCGCTTCCTCCCCCCGCAGCGGAGGTGAGGAGGAGAACTGGGAGAAAATCTGCATAATCGCACACTGACCAGGCACCTCTCCTGCTGCTGACTTAGAAAACAAACGCTAAAGCAAACACAGGAAGAGAGCAATTACTGAGGGTGAAATCAATTTGCACACCTACAAATAAAAACGAGTCAAACCGTCAAATGAATTGAAATGTTAAAATGAGGAAGAAGCTCTTCGGCGATGCTGCTGCTCCTGAAAAAAATATAGACTTACGATGAGACTAAGATCATCTTTTCGCTCTCGTTTGATATCTTAAATACCGCACTGACAACAAACAGAGCTGCGTATTTAGCCATATTTTTACAAATTTATGTGCGCAACACTGCACATACAGATGGACAGAAGACAAGTGGATTATTGTGCAGAGCGGCTTTGAGAAGTTCAGAAGTCTCCGTTAAACTGGAATACTGTTGGAATCCACAGTAACCACGACTACAGCTATTGTCTCATGCAAAGAAGCCAAATGGTCTTGAACGGTGCTGAAGAGATCCAAGGTTTGGAAGATACAGTCTTGTTTTTTAGGAAATAAGCTCATGAACTTGCAGTGGACAAGAGAAACATCCTTGCTTACAAGTTTACTCACTCCCAGAAAGAAGGAATAGTTTTCATGCTGCAGATTCTCAGTGGTCAAAGGAAAATACTGAGGAGTAATGTGGCCCTTTTTCCACAAGGCCTTTTAACCCTCTGAACCACAAGCAGTTTCTGAGAGTTTCTTTACTGCTGTCACATTTTTTTACCCACTCTAGGCTTGTTTTTTTACTGCAGTATAAAGTCCTGCACCTCTGTGGAAACAACACAGTCATGACTAGAAGTAGAGAGAACTCTGTGCAG